CAGAGGGAATCGTCCAACAGCCTGACGTGCCGCACATCGGCTCCCTGCACGGTGTGGCCAACATCGAGCTGCCTGGCATAAGTTTGCAAAAAGATACTATTTAGATGCTCTGCTTTAGATTCATTGTGTATAAATATTTCAATCTGCCATTACATTTTCCTTAGTTAACTCTCCAAAGTGTCCTCATGTCAGGAATGGGCCTTAAGAAGTGAAGGGTTCTATTTCCGTTTGATGGTGGTATACATGTTGGACTTCCTGTTTACACCAAGGTGGACAATAATACAGCACTGGTTGACAAGTTGAAGCGATTCCAGCAAGAGAATGAGGAACTGAAAGCTCGGATGAACAAGCACATGGCAATTTCCAGGTAATGTTAAAATGGTGCTGATTCCTCTGAGCCCCTCCTCCCTTCCTCGAACATCCTGGGTTACTCTCACCACACTCCACCCACCTGACACACTTATGATGCAGGTGGTCATTTCTACCTGGAAAATACTGTAGCAGTCTATGCCTTTACCAAAGCATCCTGGACCAGACACTGAGGCCTGAGCAGGCACGCCTTCCCCCAGAGGCCCTGGCTTCCTCACTCTGAAAATGAGTGTACAGAAAAAGCAACACAAAGGCAAATAGAAAACAGTCTGAAATATGAAAGTTTTTTTCTTAAAGGAAAAATATTTGATTTACTAAAAAGGCAGAGTTAGAAGGAGACACACAAATCTTTCATCTGCTGCTTCACTTTCCAAATGGCTGCAATGGCCCTAGGAACTCTGTCTGGGTTTCCCCTGTGGGTGACAGGGGGCCTAAGCACTTGGGCTGTCTTCTGCTGCTTTCCTAGCCACGCATTAGCAATGAGCTGGATCGGAAGTGGAACAGCTCAGACTCAAATCAGCACTCACATGGGATGATGGTGCTGCAGGTGGCAGCTTAACCTGCTATGCCACAGTGCTAGCCCCAAGACAGTCTTTTTGGTGGAAGTATTACCCATCTTAATATGAAATTGCCCAAGCAGCTCTTCTTTTCTTTAAAAAAGGATTTTATTTATTTGAAAGAGTTAGAGAGGTCTTCCATCTGCTGGTCTACTCTCCAGATGGCCACAATGGCTGGAGCTGTGCCCATCTGAAGCCAGGAGCTTCTTCCGGGTCTCCCACGTGGGTGCAGGGGCACAAGGACTTAGACCATCTTCCACTGCCCTCCCAGGCCGCAGCAGAGAGCTGGATCAGAAGAGGAACAGCCAGGAGTAGAACCAGCGCCCATATGGGATACCGGCACCTCAGGCTAGGGCTTTAACCCACTATGCCACAGCGCCAGCCCCCCTCTCCCCCAGACAGCTCTTCCTGGGGGGAGGGTGGATGGGAGGGCACTCAAGCTCATCCTCCCTCTGTTTGGGTTTCTTAGCTTAATACCTGTGACCGCGTGCAGGACTCTGTTTTATTCCCAAGGGATGCTTTCTCCAACTTGTTTTCCTTCCACTCCAATCCACATGGTCTCTGGCTCTTTTCTGTTTTAAAGGCAACTTTCCACTGAGCAGGCGGTTCTGCAGGAGTCATTGGAGAAGGAGTCCAAAGTCAACAAGCGGCTCTCCATGGAGAACGAGGAACTGCTGTGGAAGCTGCATAATGGAGACTTGTGTAGCCCTAAGAGGTCCCCCACGTCCTCAGCTATCCCCTTGCAGTCCCCAAGGAATTCTGGTTCCTTCTCCAGCCCCAGCGTGTCGCCCAGATGACGCCGTCTGGGAGCGTTTGACAGAGCTGCGGGACTGACCTGAACAATGGCCATGGGAGCAAGAGCTGCATGAGCTCACGTGTAATTACTGCAGGATACCCGGAAGGCCACCACCACCAGAATCGGTTCCGTTGGAGACTGGGACTCCGCAGGAAGACTTTGGCCTCCGTCCAAAAGACTGCTCCAGAAAAGATGGCAGAATGGACACAGACATTGTTGCACAAAGCACTTAACAGAACAAGAGAATCTTGTTCGTTGCCTTTTTCACCTAAGCATAAGGGGAAAAACTCTCAGGGGCTTCTTAAAAGATTTATAACCTTTATATAATGTTCTTCGCAGACACCTTCTTGTGAGTTGTACTTTGGTCTGACTGTAGGTGGGGGTGTGTGAATGAAAGCGATGTGAGAGTGTCATGTGTCTGATGCGGCCGTCTGCTGTATAGTAAAGGTTGACGGCTGAATATCTGCTATGTACTAATCAAATAAAAGTCAGTGTCCACATTTCAGCCAAAGCCATAGCAGAGAAAGCAGTAGCTGCTTCAATTACGATTAGTTGTCACCGACGTTGCTCAACTCCTCGACATGGGGAGGAGAGGGTATGTTGGGAAAAGTTGGACTTACCAATGTCTGTACCTTCTCTGCTTCTTTCTGGAGTAACTTGGCGGTTTTTCAATGTTCAGCCATGTCTGTTGAATCTAGCTAGATTTTTCTGTAGAGTTTTTACTTATCCATGTGAACCTAATATTATACAATGATCCATTTTCTCAGGCTTTTAGCAAATGTAGAACCCTAATTTTTCTTAAAAAAAAAATCTGTATGAAGAATAAGGGCAGTACCAATGCATTGTTCTGCCTTATTTTTTTTTTTTTACCTTGATCTAAGCTATCCTTACAGATTTGAATTTTTCTTCTCCCATTATCCCCACCCCCTGCTTCTTCTCCCTACTCTCCAGAGCCACAAAAGCAAACCTTCTACCTCCCATCTGCTTTCTCTGGGACAAGGATAAAGGAATGTTTTTCCAGAGCCAGCTCATTGTCAAGGTGCTGATACCATTTTTCAAATACATGAAGACCTAAACGTGATAATACGCATTTTGGAAAATCTTCGAGAAGATAAAAAATGAAACTAAGAAAGACAGAACTCAGCACTTACCGATGAATCGAAGTAGGAGACCAAAACAGTCTGGGAAAATACTGATTTTTCAGGTGCCCTTCAGGAATCCTGTCTTTGGGACGTGAGGAGAGTGGCAGTCGCCAAGGGGAATGTGTGGTTTATACTATTGTCCGTCAAGGTGCATTTCAGTTTCTTTTCAAAACTTCACTTATTACCTCCCCCCAGTTCTAAGCCTTTGGGAGAGTTGAAGGAGGAACTGTGGCTTTTTTTCCATGCATGTGTGAACACTAACATTAGGATTTACTAATCTGCACTCCATGGCTATCCAAGTAACCCCTTACTAAAAACAGATTCAGGATACTGCCGGGGGATATCATTTATGTGTAAGCTATGTAGAAAAATATTCATAATGCTTTTTGTTTTTTAATTAGTGATTGTGTCTGCCGTCTTTAACCTCTAATAGTTTCTCATGTATGTAACCTTTCATACTTGCTTCTGGGAAATGAGAATGTAGATCTACTGCCCCCTCCTGGAATATCTCTGCTCATACTTCCTAGTTCTCAATGACATTAGCCAAAGTTGGGTTTGCCATTCATCCCCTACATATGGTAAGTCTAGCGCTCTCCTCCATACCATGTAGGTGTCTGGGAAATAATATAAAATGTCTTCAGAGGGTGGGAGACACGATAGGAAACAATAGAGAACTCTTAAGATATTTTTCAAACCAAATGTTTCATGTAGGATGCAACATGTTGGCACGTCATAAAAATATGGATATGTAAAGAACTGTAGTTGTGTTCAGTTTGTAGTGATGGAAAGTGTATTTTACTTTGATTAAATAAATAATGCTGGAATATTCAATGAAAGACATTCAGCCTCTGACATTCTTCAAATTGTTACCTAGTTTGCAGCCCTTCATATACCATAGTAGTGAAGACTAGGTCTTCTCTTGACTACTTCTCAATTTCCAATGCAACCAAATCTGTCATGGGCTGAAATTTGGTTCATGGAGCTAGCTAGAGTTAGAGCCAAACTTTGTACGTGTACTTGAAAAGTGAATTTTGGCTAGTTTTCTGCAGTATCACATAAGAAAATTGGGACAGCTGTGGTCTAGATACTTTTGAAGATGGGGCTATACAAAGCTGAATGTTCCAAGGAAATTAAACTTTTTAAAACATGAGCTGGCATGGTGGCACAGCAGGGAAAGCTGCCACTTGCAACACTGGCAGCTATATCAGAGCCCAGGTTTGAGTCCCAGCTGCTTCACTTCTTTGTTTTTGATTTATTTGAAAAGCAGAGTTAGGCAGAGAGAGGCAGAGGTCTTCCATCTGCTGGTTCACTCCCCAAGTGGCCGGAGCTGCGCTGATCTAAAGCCAGGAGCTTCTTCTGGGTTTCCCACGTGGGTGCCATCTTCTACTGCTTTCCCAGGCCACAGCAGGGAGCTGGATCAGAAGTGGAGTAGCCAGGACTCGAACCAGCACCCATGTAGGATGCTGGCACTGCAGGTGGCAGCCTTACCCACTATACCACAATGCTGGCCCCTGCTTTACTTCTGATCCAGCTTCCTGACAAGGGTGACAGTGGGCCAAGGGCATCTGCCACTTCCAAGTGGGAGACCAGGGTGTAGTTCCTGATTACTGACTTCACCCTGGCCCAGAGACCTGGATATGGCAGCCATTTGGGGATGGAACCTCTGACACTCTGCCTTTCAAATAAATACTTAAAAATAAGTGCATAAATTAAAAATACACTTTTAAAAAACATTCTTGTTTTTATTTGAGATGGAGAGAGCTGTTCCCTATGCTGGTTCACTCTCCAAATGCCAGTAAGAGCCAGGGCTGGGTTAGGTTGAAGCAAGAAGCCTGGAACTCAATCCAGGTCCCCCAAGTGGATGGCAGGTACTTAAATACTTGAGCCTTCATCTGCTGCCTCCCAGGGTATGCAGTGGCAGGAAGTTAGAATTGGAGGCACATCAGGACTCAAACCCAGGCCCTCTGACATAGACTGAAGCAGCATCTTAACTACTACACCAACTACTCACCTCAGTGTATTTTAAAATTGTATTGTAGCTCTTATGTTAAAGAGAAAGCTAGATATTGATGCAAATATCACTGCCTAAAGGTCTTCTGGATGAACTTTGAGCCAACTTAAAAAACAAACAGCCTATTTTTTTACGTTTTATGAAAACTTGCTCATTTAATGGAAATGATTATATAAAATTGTTTATATGCTTTCTTAGTATAAAAACTAGAAACACAGAAAGGTTACCACTTGTATTAGTAGACTGGTGACTTCCTTTGAGCTTGGACGTCTGGGTCTTTCTCAAAATGGAGGAGCTGGGGTTTGGCACTTGACATCAGTCCCCAGCAAAGCACCCTGAAACTGGTTGTGGATACCAATGGGCTTCCCACCAGTTCATCGTACTTAACTTTCCAAATCAGGAAAACTCGACAGTGGTAGCAACTGTCGTCTGTCCTTGGAGATTCTGAGCAGTGCAGATGTAATATCCTGCATCAATGGTTTCCACGTCTTCAACTGAGAGGACACTCTGGGAGATCCTGGTGGTGTGGCCCAGGCCTCTGTGGATCAGCCTCCAGGTGTCTTGAATTGTCACGGGTCTCTCATCCTGTTTAATGACAGCCACACAGACTGAGACACCCATGAACAAGCTGCTATAATTAGTATAAACAGTTTCCATTCACCCAACACCACTGTGCACCTTTCCAAGTGCAAAGCACATGTTCCCAGAAGACTCCTTGGTATGCACAGCTCATGGGCTGTGTGAGCTTTTCAATGTATCATCTTAGGCTGCATTTTTTAAAGCAGAGTCTTAAATTTCAGTATGCTGTGTAGTACTTTTCCTGTTCTTTTCTTCTAGAAGTTTCTACTGAATATAAAATGTGTTCTTTGGGAACCCCAAGAAAGCAGAACTGGTATGCAGCATTAAAAACACTGACAACATTGTCCAGCACTCCCATCTTGACACGGACCACTTTTCATCCCCTAGCTAAGTGATTCTTAGAGGATTTAAAGTCAGAAACCTGAAGCACTCACTGCACAAATCAGGAAGAGCCACTTATTTGTTCGCATTTGGAAGAGAGAACTATGAGTTAGCAAAAGCACCATAGGACTGCAGCAGGAGAAAACTGTATCAAGGGTGGGTAAGGTAATACCCTGGCTGGGGCCGGTGTTGTGGTACAGCAGGTTAAACGACCACCTGGGACACTGGCTTGCCAGATGGATGCCAGTTCCCTGCTAATGTGCCTGGGAAAGCAGAAGATGGGCCCGAGTACTTGGGCCTTTGCCACCCATGTGGGAAACAGAATGGAGCTCCAGGCTCCTGGGTTCCATCTGGCCCTGCCCCAGCCACTGTCGTCATTTAGAGTGAACTAGGAAATAAAGTAAGGTCTTTCATCTCTGTCCCTCCCTCCCTCTCTGTAACTTTGCCTTTCAAATAAATCCTTTAAAAAAAAAATCTCTAGAAATAAGCTGTCTTATCTTCCATAAAGTGAGATGGTCACTTTCAAGATGTTCCCATCACGTTGGTGGTAAGAGCATGATGTCCTCTGAATTAGTTTAACAAAAGTAATATTATAAGTATTACTAAGTTAACACCTTTTCTACTCATCAGATAACAATTTGCAATATAGAACAATTCTCAATTGAAAAGCATTGAAGTTTTCTAAATGTGGTAACACTTTTTGAAAACAAGTACCTAGTCCCAGGATGCTGGAAAATATTATTCTCCAGGGATAATTATTTTCCACCAATCACAGTCCTTAGGCCAGAAGTGTGTTGGCTGCTGTAGAGTATGTCTTGGGAGACCAGATCTCTTCTGGCCATAAAGAAATTACTCCACATTGGTGGCAGAGCTGTTTATTTTAGTGAGCAGAATGTGTACAAATGCTAAATGTGCTGTAGCTGCTTTTATGGGAAGTCTATTTAAAAATAGGGTCTGGCCTCACAGTACCTTTGTGACAGCGCCCATGTTTATATCCTGCTTGGGGGACATCTGCTCAGAGCTCCTCACCACAGGCTGCATAGAGAACTCTGAAGGATTCTGGAAGGAGCGGAGATTAGCCACTGTCGACCTGAGATGCAGGACTCAGGACTGAGGTTAGGGGCAGGAAGAAAGGATGCCCCTTCTTGTGCCGCTGCTCTTCTAACCAGAGTTCTGGGGAAGAGCTGCATTTGAAGAGGGCTCCTTGAATGAACTGCCTAATGGAAACCAGTCACTTTCCCTGCCTGTCTTCCGAAAATCTGTGAATATATACTGAAACATCTTAGTAGAAAACAAGCAAGTCCTGGCCCCCTCCAGAGTCCCACACGTTTCTTAAAGTTAGAGCTGTGCCACATGGCGGGGCAACCAGGCTGACTGGCAGTGGATGGCGGGGACCCGGGGGTGGTGCTTACCTTCTGCCCTGGGAAGATCCACCTGAACTCCACCTCCACGTCAGGCTCCCCCAGCACAGTGCAGAGCACACTGATGTCGTCCCCACCTCTCACTTTGTTGGCGGAGGCCAGGATGGTTGTTGACGGAGGGCCACGGGGAACTGGAAGCAAGCAAGAGGCAGGAGGGTGAGAGGAGCTCCCAGAGCATGAGGTGGGAGACTGCCCTACTGCCAGGTTCTTTGGTGAGTGCGCTGTTTTTGCCTCACGCATTCCAGCCAGCACCAGGCTGACACTAGCTAGCTCGCCACTTTTTCTTTTCCTTGAAGGCACTTGAATATCTGCTGTTGATGGCCCACACTGGAGCAGTCATGCAGAACCCCCAGGTCCACACACTAGGCTTACAATTAGGGAAGGAGTCCAGCAGATGGGCCAGGGGCTACGCGAGGGGCAAGAAGGTACTTGGGGAAAGAACAAGTCCAGCACAGTGAAGGCAGCCTGGATGATGCCATCCAAAGGGCAGAGATGGCCAGGGATGGGTGGCTGTCCATCCTTGGAAGAAGAAAAAGTCTACATGTATGGATGGAAAGACGATGGCAGGGAGGCACAGGCAACGCCTCTGTTTGCAGCACCTTACTTCACAGCGTCTCAGAAACATGGTTCACAGGTAACTGATGGCAGCCTTGAGCAAGGCCATGTGCCAGGAGCTGGGACTATAGCAAGGAATGACATGGCCATGGACTCAGAGCCTTGAAGCCTACATCCCCTGGAGGGGAAGGACACTAAGCAAGTCAGTGTAGGGTTAATTTCAAACTTCAAGTGTGTTCAGAACTACAAAGGGAAGGGCCCAGAGTAGTCAGAGCTTCAGAGATGTGGGCAGGAGACAGGGGAAGGCAGTGGCAGACTGGGAGTCCCATGCGAAGCCCCTGAGGCCCAGGGGGCCCACTGACTGAAGGGAAGCCAGGGCCTGCAGCAGGGAGGGGAGGAGTGAGACCAGGCCAGTGAGGAGGGCAGAGGCAGGTTGGGCAAGGCCTGCTGGGCCACAAAGGAGGAATTTTGACTTGGCTCTGGAAGAAGTGGGAACCTGCTGCATGGTTTCCCTGGGATGTAATCTGCTACAGTGTAGAAAATGACTGCAGAAAGAAAAAGTGGGCCAAGGGAGCTTGGTTAGACATGTGCAAGTCCAAGAGAGAGACACTTTGGCAGTGAGGATGGAGAGCAAGCATAGGACTTGGAAGTGATTTAATGGGAAGAAAAAAAAAAAAAAAAAGGATGAGCAGGCAGAGAGGTGGAGCTTGACCCTCAGTCTTGTTCCTGTACACTGGGTGAAGGTGGTATCACCACTGAGGTGAGGCAGAGAACACAGAAGAACCATCTGGGTTCCGTGATGGGCACACACAGTCTGGAGGGAGGTTGTGGCTGCATCTGAAGAGGGGCCCATGGCACTCTCAGGCCCACAGGGGGCTCCCCTCTAGTGAATCACTTAATACCCATGACAAGGTATTGGAGCCACCATTTGTGCCCAACAGGGACAAGCCAGGTCAGCATTTACTACCAGGGGACAAGCACTTCCAGAGTTGTGCCTCCTCCTCTCTTCCCCCAGGCCAGTACCAAAGCAGGGAGGAGAGAGGAGGAAGCTGTGCCTCTGTCTCCAAGCAGCCTGACTCATCTGCTTGGCCTGTGCACTAGGAAAGAGGCCTCAGGGGCAGGTGTTGGAGCAAAGATGGGGTTAAAATCTTAACTGAGCAGTTTTAGAAACCAGAGTGAGGCTGATTTACTGCCCAGAGTGACTACGGGATGGGAAACTGGACTGTGATGTTACTGAAGGATCTCACTACCCTTAGGGAGGAGGCAGAGTTGATGGAAATTACCCGGGAGAATGGCGTTTCACGTATGAATGTGAAGTTCCTCTCTAAAGTAGTTGCCTTTTTATTGAAGGGATTTGAACATGTTTCAGACCTGGCAAGAGGACAGCGGTGAGGCCGACTGGAAGAGAACGAGGCAGATGGCAGTTTAGTGACCTGAGGTGTGCAGTACACATTGTGGGAAGAAGAAAAGTCTGGAAAAGTGCAGGGGGCAGCCCGGCAGTGGAGATGTAACCAGGAGCTGTCGGTCACACCATCTCCCCATCCTGGGACCTTCCCAGCAGCCCTCAGGGAATGGGCACAGGGCACAGGGCACAGGTAAAGTGTGTGTGGAGGAGGGTATTTTCCTGGACAGATTGAGGAGCGAGGAGGTGAGGGCATCAGTAAACAGCACTGGAGGGTGAGTTCTGGAACCCAAGCTGGTTGGGGAGGGCAGAAGCCCTAGGGGAGAGCAGAGAACAGTGTGGTGGTGAGGATCGGAACAGGCAGGAGTCACTGAAGGAACAACCCCGGAAGAGCAGCCTGTGGTTGGAGCTGGGGCCAGCCTCTGCCAGTCCACACAGTGGTTCCTGACCAGTTAAACTGTGGCTGAGGGAGGAGATGTCTGAGGTAGATTGGACAAGGCAGCCACTGACCCAGAGCAGTGAGCTTCAAGAGGATGCTAAGGTTACCCCAAAAATAGAGTGATGAGGAGGACCATGGCCCAATTGCATGCAGGGAATGATGGGAAAGGAGAGAAGAACATGCTGGTAGGGCCACAGTGGCATGGCCTCAGAGGACCAGGGGCTCCTCACAGAGGCTGAGACAGCAGGGATCAGCAGGGGGCACGCATGGCCCAAGAGGGGCACCCACTTCCAGGTGGGGAGCAGACGGTTAAAGCAAAGTGGTTGTGAGGATGTTCTGAGAGGAGGCTGGATAGAGGGGGTTGGGTCACAGTCACAGGAGAAGATATAGAACATGCTAGAAGAGGCGGTGCAGAAGAGCCTTTGCAAACGGCATTCCATGCCTCCTTACCTTGGCCCGTAGGTAGGGACAGCCAGCACCTGACACGGATGGATGGAAGAGACAGACCCAGCCCCCGGGGTTAGCAGGCTCACCCTCCACGTAGAGCAGCTGGTACTTGATGGAGACCTGAGAGCTGCTGCCGGCCTCGGCTTTGCAGTAGACCACCCCCTGGTGGTCAGGATGGGGTTGCAGATACACGAAGCCTCTCTTCAGGTCGTAAAAGATGTCCGCCCCGTTGACTGGGATCTCCTTGGCTGGGAACTCCCTGTGGAGCGTGACCTTGGCAGAAGGCACCGTCACGCGACAAGGGACCACAGCCTGTCTGCCTGGGTTCAGGTAGACAACGTCGAAGTAGCTGGGAGAAGGTACAAAGAGTTCTCCTTTCTCTGCAAAGGGGAAGACAGGGTTAGGATTCGCACACCCAGGGCGCAAGATGAGAGCGGACTGGCAACACCCAGAATACTGAGTTCTTAAATAGAAAAGGCTGTTGAACACATTTAAATTTTTGGAAGAACAACTTCTCTCCTTAAAGGAAGCAAATTCAAGCCTAAGTCAGGCCATGGGTGACCACACTGAGGAAGCAGGCAAGGACACAGACTTCCTTAAGTGACGAGAGCACGGAAGCCCTTGAAGCGATCGATCCGCAGCTTCTGTGCTGAGCACTGAGCCACTAGGCCACCGTCAGTGACTTCCCATCGGGAGCTCCGGCAGGGAGGGGGGACAGTGCAGTGACACCCTCCCCCGTCCTCAGCCACCACCCAGCTGACCACACCCCGCCAGCCTCTCCTGCTCCATGAAATCATTCCACCCGGTTCTGTAAGCTCTAGAGCGCGGGGCTTTCACCTCACAGGAATCGGAGAGAGGAGGACTGGCGTACCCTTGCTGTCCTTGGGACAGTCAACGCACTCTTAGGCAGAACTTTTTGGGCGTTCATGTTTTAGGCATCACACAGTAACATTTTTCTGGATCATTCTCTGACAGAATAGTATAGTAATCGTTAACAGACATCTCTGGAACAAATCATCCCCTAAAACGTGTTAAATTACTTGCTGTGTTTGCTCTGCAGTGTTCTCGAAACCAACAGTTATTCTTGGCTTTCTCCACTGGCCTTCTTGGTATCACAGTTGGGTGAAGTTTGAGGTTCAGGACAGAATTCCTGGACACACTGTCAGATATCTTCATGGACCAAGAGTCCCAGTTCACTAACTCAGAGGCCCTTCCTCCTGGCTTTAAGGTTAACAAAGGGAATGCCCCCTCCCCTCCAGTGGGCATCTTTTGCCAGCCTTTTTAACAGGGCAGGTGATTTGTGCTACTATCTGATAAGGTGACTCTCAGGCAGCTTTGCCAATGCTGTCCCTAATATCCGGGCAAAGTCCACATGGCCTTGGACATGTGACTTAATCCCATGTGCTTCCTGCCCTGCTCCCTGCCCCCATTAAACATCTTTCTAGCAAAAGACCAATCTTATGATTGTAACATTTAGGGAAAATTTCATTTTAAAGCTGTATAGACTACCCTGAGCTGATGAGCTAAGCCAGGAAGCTAGTAAGTTATCAGAACGTCACATCACAAAAACAGCACCTTATTTTCTGTACTATGATCCGCGCTTTGAAATATGTGACCACATCAGTGACTTTAAAAATAGCTTCCATCTAGAAGAAAAAGTATGTTGAAGTTCATTTTAAAAGTTAGATTGTCTCCTGCAAATTTGTTTACTTGTACTCATGCACATGAAAAACACTACTTTAAAAAAAAACTAAACACATGGGATCTTAGATTTCCAGAACACTACAGTTAATAGGCTTTTAGCTAAAATCTAAATTATCATAAACTCCATAGTTAGTAAAGTATGTACTAATACGATTTCCTACATATGAAAATTAGAGCCCATGCCTTTTCCTAGGATAAAGCCCTGTGGCTGGCAATGGTCTCATCCTTGATCTGTCTGGGTGGTGGTGTTTGTTTACTTGAGGATAATTTATTGAGCTATATGCTTATTATTTGAGTGGCTTTATGTTATACTTCATTGGAGGGAGGGACAGAGAGAACCTCTCTGAGAGCCTCCTGGATAAAGACAACAGGCATGTGTGTACAGTTACTGAATCCAAAATTGCAAATTAATGACAGCTCCCCATAGACGCCTCAGAGTGTTTTCCATCAAATTCTAAGGAACATACAAACATGAATGTCAGACGTTTCCCTGCATGGACAGCTGGGAAGCATATGTTCTGAAAGAGTTCAGAGCCAGCAACAGAAACCTCAGCTTCTGTAACAGCTTGTCTTAGCTTCAAAAGACACATTGCTAAGGCCTATATGGAAAATCCAACTGGATCCTTAGGTTAGGAAGATAATGAGAAATGATGTAGCACATCATTTGCCTCCCTTTTTAAGTCCAGGTTTCCTGAGAGATGAAACACATATTTTAGCCTTCATTTGGTTCATACAAGGACTTCAGCATATGAAGAAAGAAGATATGCCCCCCAAAACCCAAGGAGAACCCATAACTCTAATAGGAAATTCAGATCAAGTTTGGTTCAAAACCTCAGTGAGGGGCTGGCATTGTGACACAGCAGGTGTGAAGTGTTCAGTTCAAAACCTCAATGAGGGCCAGGCATCGCGACACAGCAGGTTAAGCCAATGCTTGCAACCCCAGCATCCCATAGCAGAGTACTGGTTCGAGTCCCAGCAGCTACACTTGTGGGTCCAGCCCCCTAATAATGCACCTGGGAAGCCAGTGGAAGATGGCCCAAGTGCTTGGGGCCCCTGTCACCCATGTGGGAGACCCAGATGGAGTCCTGGGTTCCTGGCTTTGGCCTGGCTAGTGTAGACATTTTGGGAATGAACCTGCAAATGGAAGACTGACTATCTATCTCTGCCTTTCAAATGAACAAACTTTTAAAAAAGACTCTTATTTCCTAAGAATGTTACAGAAATGAATTAACTGTGCTTCCAGAATTGTTACATGATCTGCTAATTCATCTTTTGGTCAAAGAGGAGCTATTTGGAAAGGAAGAGAAAAATACAAAGGTACTTCAAAAGCTCATGGAAAATATACTTGAAAAACCAAGCATGAAGTTCAAAATTTTTGTGACATAATATACTTATCGTTTCAATGCCATTTTCCATGAACTTTTTGAAGTACCCTTCTGCATGAGATTTTGCTCAAGTATTAATCAGTGGCCAGGCCATAAGACCAATTGGTTTGGGGCTGGCATTGTGGCATAGCACGTTAAGCCATTGCCTGCAATGCTGGCATCTCATATAGGTGCTGATTCTAGTCCCAGCTGCTCTACTTTTGATCCAGCTCCTGGAGAATGCACCTGGTAAACCAGCAGAGAATGGTTCAAATGTTTGAGCCCCTGTACCCTGGAGACCTGGATGAAGCTCCTAGCTTCTGTCTTCAGCCAGGCCCAGCCAGGGCTATGGCAGCCATTTGCAGAGTGAACCAGTGAATGGAAGATACATCTCTCCCTCTGTAACTTTGCCTTTCAAATAAATAAATAACTCTTAAACAAAATATCATTTGGGTCAGAGGCCTAAGTCATACCAGGTCAGAAGGCAGATGGATTGGGGAGGTAGACAAATCCCATGAAAATCCTGGACCTGACATTCACAGGGGTTCAGGTTCCACCTGAAGTTCTTTGGACAACAGCAGCACCAGGAAGTGGAATCTTCAAGATTCTCCAAAACACCTCCTGACCTCAGAAGCTTGTTGGAAAACTTCAGCCCCAAGTCTTTCACTGCATGGAGGAGGCTGGCCAGAGGATTACTCTGCAACACCTGTTTGTCAATGTACAGGCTCCCTAACAGACACAGGGGAGAAGAGCTCTCCACTCTACCTGCACACCTAGGCTCAGGACAGACACTGGAGCCACTGGGCCACAGCCTTTAGGACTCCTGCCCCCCCCCCCCATCCCCAAAACCTCAGTTCCTAGTACTCTTAAGGAGAAATGCAGGAGGTTGGGAGAGCATCCTATGAGTGTGGAGGTTCCAGAAAGGAGATCCCCACAGGTTCTGGAGCACGATGATGAAAAATCACAAGCGGATGCTGGTGTTGTGGTACACTGGGTTAAGCTACTGCCTGTGATACTGGCATCCCATGCTGAAGCACCAGTTCAAATCCTGGCTGCTCCACTTCCCATCCTGCCTCCCACCAATGTTCACCTTTGGAGGCAACAGTGATGGTCCAAGTACTTGGGCCCCTGCCACCCACTTGGGAGACCTGGATGGAGTTCCTGGCCATTGTGGCCATTTGGGGAGTGAACCAGCGGATGGAAGATCTCTCTCTATATATGTCTGTCTCTCCTTCTATCACTCTGCCTTTCAAATAAACATCTTTAAGAAAGTCACCAGCATCATTGTCCATTGCTGTATCCCAGACTGTGCCAAATATCATAGCTTCTAGACATGTGCCATGACTGCGCCCCAGAAATGTAACAATATGAGTAAATGAGCTTTTAATTTTACTTAGTTAACTCTCAATTACACTGAAGCCACATGTGTCTAGTGGCTACAATACTGGGCAGTGCATGTACAGAACCTGGAATTAAATGATCCTGTGTTCAAATCCTGGTACTGCCACTTTCTTGCTGTGTGACTTGAAGGACTTATTTATTTCCTCCAAACCTCAACTTTCCTATCTAGAAAAAAATGGGCTGTTACATGAACTACTTGGCGTAAGGCATTAGCCCTCTCAATGACAGTTTGCTACTGGCTCCCAAGTCTATAAAGATGAAGACTGCCCCTAATGCATTCAACATTTCACCTGTAAAAAAGATGTAGGTGGAGCCCATCTTGGCCTCATCCCTCCTGCAGATGTAGCCATTGCAGAGCTGCCCCCAGCAGCTGAATTCACCAGTGTCGGCCGCAGTGGAGTTGACCAAGGTCAGCTGGCCGTAGCGCTCATGCTGCTTCACACTGCGAGTGAAAGAGAGACGGGGACTCAGAGCAGGTCAGAGCGAGGCCAGGGCCTTCCAGCGGCCGCTTTCTGCTCTGTTGTTCTCAGATGTCAACACCCAGCCATGCAGCACAGACTGGCACAAGATAGGGCAGTGTCCGGGGAGAACAGGAGTGCAGGGGGAGCCAACAGAAAAGCCTTTCCTAGACGGAAATAATAAATAATTATATTTTCCAAGAAGAGGAAATTCTCTTTGGTTTCCTTTGGTAAAATCACAGAGGCATTAGCAATGCACCTCAGCAGCTCACCAGGAAGTTTTAGGCTGGTTTTTGCTATCAGCCTTTGCTTCTAAGGAGTTCATTTAAAAGCCAGCCACATGAATGAAAGCACACAGCATTATCCACAGTCAAAATCCCCCTCAGCCATAAGAACAGATCTGCTTGGAATCCTAGGGATGCTCTATTGTCGCATTAAAAATAGAAACCTCCTTTAGGGGCAAAATGCTTTGGCTTCTGAGCCCCAGGGAGACAGCCCAGCTCTGTGAAGTGAATAGTGCCTCCGGGCATTCAGTCTCCTCTGGCCTCACTTTCATTTTCTCCATTTTCTCTCTTGCATTTCTATATGGTTGCCTGGCAGATTGACTTGCAAACCCCTTCAGATTTTGCTGTGAGGAGAGACATAGATCTAGGTTACCATTCAACAACAGTGTGGGCCCTCTGCCATAGTAATCAGCTGTACTGTGACAGGAACCAGGATGTGTCGTACCTGCTGTAGAAGTGGGGCAAACGCTATGGTTTTAATACCAGAATTCATCTCAAATATGCAAATGTGCCATTCCTCAGAGATCCACATACTTTCCTGATGTAGTCAAGATTCTCCTGTTGGTCTTGCTGCAATCAATAAGGTCACCACTTTAAATTTAGCACACGACAAGATGTCTGGCTGGTTGATCCTAAACACAGCCCTGTCCTGGTTCATTGCTGAAGAGCTTATTTTGCCCACAGTTCTGCCAAGAGGTGCCTCTGTACTCCCACTCCATCACCTCCTGCCTTTAAACTCAACGGAAATCTCTCCTCCTTCGGGAAACTTCTAATTAGACTGGACTCCCAGCTATCTCCTCCCTGTCGCCCTGATGATGTCACTGCCCCCTGGTTCTCTACCCCTCCAGAGACCCAGGGCTTCCTGTTATGACACTAGGGGATAAAACTAGTTACCACATTAGTGTTATATCCCCCAAGCAACAAGTCTCTGCAGAGCACATAGTCAGGAATCCTGAAATATGAGTAAATGGAAGTTGAACTGAAGCACAGAATTAGAAATGGAAAGAAGCTGGAGAAACAGGAATCGGCCCTTTATTTTGCAGTTGAGAGTCTCAGCATAAAGGACGTCCATGAGACCCATAGCTAGTGAACAACTAGCTAAGTCAATTAGAGGTGTCTGGAATATCCACTCACTAGATAATGTATATGAAATACATCACACAATGCCTAGTTTATAACATTATCTTAATTATACCTAATTACAGGTTAGTAGTAGTAATTGTGAATACTATTGTATGACAATGGTTAGGAAAAGAGGCCCAGAACAGAGATGAGGCAGGGTACGAATCTGCAGCCAGACCAAATTTATTCAGAGAAAATAAATCTACAGAGGTGGGTGACCAACTGCCAGCGAGTACAGACTGACCATGTGGCAAAGGGCTCCTACCCCCCCACCCCCGGGCCGGGCCTTTTTTATATCTTAGGAGGGCTGGGGTGGGGGTGGGGTCAGGGAGGAGCTGGCATATAGTAAATTCCTCCATACTGCTCTTTCAAGTGGCTGCCTGGCCTCTGAACCTGGGGGAGAATGTGGGGGTAGGGTGCAAAGACAAAAGGGTATGAGGCCCAATTGAGATTCAGGGCCAAGGAATAAGTTTCAATATTTATCTATCTTTTGGGCAATGAGCAAGAATGACTGAGGCTTATATCTAATAACTAGTGATACATATGTAGTGGGCAGGATGATAGTATAACAGACAAACAGTGGACCTTAAGGAGATTACAGGGCAGTTAGCAGGAGTTACTATGATTTGGACATGGATTGAACACGTCCCCCAAGGGTTCATATGTTGGAAGCTTCCTGTTCAAAGTGTGCTGATGTGAGAGGTGAAATGTTTAAGAGGCAGAGCCCAGTGGAGGTCACAGAGGTCACTGCCCTCAGAAGAGATTAAGGTAGTTCTTCTGGGGTCCTGGTTAGTTCTTATGAGAGGGCTGTTATTAAAGAGCAAGACTGCCCATGGAGAGTGGTCCCAGGGCATTTGGTGGCATCCCCTAAGATAAATGGGATATAAGCTCCCCCGCTGCACCCAGAGATTCAAATCACCTCCCTGGGAAAATCTCTTGGATTACAGAAAACTCACCCTGAGGAAACACTGCAGTTACAAGTATGTCCCTGGCATCATAGTCCATGTTGTAATGGACAGACTCTGAGTATCTAGCTTGTTGCTCCCTTGCACGCACATAACAGTCACCCTAAGAAGGGAGCACAGGTGGTACCCTCATTACTGCCCGTGTTGCAGCAGTGGACAGCCCCTGCCTGACCTGTTTGCCCACTACTATATTCAAGAAATCTAACTCTGCTCTCCATGTGCTCTGGTGAATTTTTTCACTGCCAGCAGCACCTTACTTCATTGGTCACTTTCTGCACCATGGCCCCTTCCCCTCTCTTTGGCTTCCCATCTTGCCATGTGATCACTCTCCTACCCATTTCTGCCAAAGTCCTTCACCATGAGGTCCTCACCAGAGCCTTGCCCGTGGTGGCCCCATGCCCTTGACCCTTCAACACTGAGCTTTATAGACCTCTGTTCTTTATAAGTACCCAGCCTTAGGTATTTGTGATAGCAATGGAAAATAGGTGAATATAGGAGTTAAAACTAATGTGCATGAATAGATCAGAGACTAACTAGAGGATTCCTTACAACAAAGAGGATAGGGATTCTGAAAAGGCTTCTTTACTGTGGATCAAAGAGGTTGGAGGCAGCTTTGAGGAGGAGGTGGGCTGAACATTTAAAGGGCAGGGCAGGGCAGGGCAGGGGGTAAGGTCCACAAGGGGACTGATGGGTAGCCAGCACACTTGTTCAGAAAACTACAAGACACATGAGGGCTGTGAGGGACTTGGTCCGCTGTGGCCTCCGTGTGCAGCAGGTGGAAGGCACCAACAACTTGAGGACTTCATCCATTAACCACAGGAGTAGACAGAAATGGGCAGTTGGGAGTCTTGGGCATATTTTCGAGAAAAGCAAGAGGGGCTCATGGTTTGCTCACCAAACATCAGTAACTACCCTCAATTTTGGAGGCAGGGGCATGAGCAGAAAAAACTGCAATGGAGGAGGCAGGAGGAAGTGGAGGAGGTAGCTTGAGAGGCTACGAGGAACACCAAGTGCTCGGGCCTGGACTAGGTGTGGGCAATGCAATGGAGCAAATCCAAGCAATGATTTTGGGGGGATGGGAGGGACTTATGACACACAGGGTATGGGGCTAGAAGAGAGATACACTAGGAATAACCACTCCATTTATACTTCTGTTTGTTGGAAATAATGGACTCTGACTGACTGAGTAGCTGGGAGCAGAAAGATTTAGGTAGGCAAAATGAGTACTTCACTACTGGGGAATTTGAATTTGTGATCAAATGTAGATCATTTAATGTGTATGTCCTATGGGAAGTTGGAAATACAGATCTGGTTCAAAGGAGAGAAAGCAGACTCCTGACTCCAGCTCCCCACCAATGCATATTCTGGAAGGCAGCAGGTGATGGCTCAATTCCTGCCACCCATGTGAGAGACCTGGATTTTTTAGGTAGGAAGGTCAGTTTTAGCTGATGCATGTAAGAGGGGCAGAAGGAAAAAAATGGGGAAGTTCACATGGGAAGGAAGGTAGCCACCTAAGAAGCATGCTTGGCGTTTACACATCAGAAGTCCTGCCCGTGACTGATAACCTCTGGGTAAGGTCCCAGCCTCCTTCCTGGGGACACCCCAAGGGACTCTTCCTGGCCCAGCACCAGCGAGTTAAATTTCATGATTTTCTTGCCTGGAAAGCCCTCCACTCAGCAATATCCCAGAAAAGGAGTGGCGAGGAGTAGCTGGGCCCAGTCCCATTAAAACTCCAGTGTGAATGCAGACTGGACACCCAGCCCTTTGCTGAGTCCTTCTCCTGGTGTGCCAGGTGTATTCTCTTCATTGAACATCACTAGCTTTCTTACTGCCAATCTTGGTCTCATGTCTGATTCCTCTCTTACTAGGAGACAAGAATCTCTGTTCCAGCTGTCTTTGGTAACAGATGGAGTTCCTGGCTCCCAGTTTTGCCCCAACCCAACTCTAACTGTTGCGAGCATTTGAAGAGTGAACCAGTAGATGAGAATTCTTACTTAATCTCTTTCTCTCTTACTCAAACAACTTTTATGAAAAAGAAGAAAAAGAGAAAGATAAAGTCTAAGGCAAATTTTAAAGTCAGAACTTGGAGGTCAGCAGAAAAGAGGAGAAAAACCAAGAGGGAGGAGATCAGAAAAGGGAAGAACACAGGGGAAAGATTCAAGAAGTGGATGTTTGACAGGACAAGATGCCTTTGAGAGATTCGTGACCCTCCTTCTCCCCACCGATTTTATTTCAGAGAATGAAAGTCTCGGGCAACTGTTAAAAGATAAATTTCAGTTTGACCAATGGTGTTAAATTTTAGTGAATAAAAAAAAATGGAAAAGGGAAGAGGATCTTTCTGCAGGATTCTGATACCTGGCCACATTCCTGAGGACACAGAGTCAGCAGGGAATCTGTACACCTGCTGGGCCCAGTGTTTGCTAGCAGTGTAGTGCTAGAAAGCATGGGAGGCTGCTCCTGCCAGGAAAGCAAATGCACACTTAAAGTTGAACATTTGAGTATAGCTCCAAGACCACTGTGAAATATGCTCACTGTATCTTTAGTAGGTTGGGGGTGGAAGGAAGGAAAACATGTCTGCATTTTCCCACCCCCTGTTTTAGGCAGACAACAGAA